CCTGTCATCCCAGCACTTTGGGAAGCCAAGGTGGGAGTATCACTCAAAGCCAGGAATTCGAGACCAGTCTGGGCAATATAGTGAGACTGTGCCTCTAAAAAAAGAAAAAATAAAATTATCCAGGCATGGTGGCGTGCACCTGTAGTCCCAGCTTCTCAGGAGGCTGATTCAGGAGGATTGCCTGCGCTGAGGAATTTGAGGCTACAGTGAGCTATGATGGCACTGGACTACACTGCAGCCCAGGCAGCAGAGCAATGCCCTGTCTGTTTAAAAAATTCCTATCATAAATTCTGTATCACAACACAGAGCAGGGTTTTAAAAATATATTTTAAATTAAATGATGTTAAGAAAGCTGGATAGAAATTGAAAAAATCGATTACACACTAGGTAAATTTTAAAAGACTCATGAAAATTATTTTTTAATGACAGACTGAATCATTTTACATTGTCAAAAAGTAACATTCTAAACTCTGAAATTGCTATCAGCAACAAATTTGACTATCTGAAAATGTAAAACTAAAAATATAGCTAAGAAAATGATTTGAAAAAATATTTGAATCAAGTGGAATGAATAATTCATTCTAAATATTTAGTTTTACAAATTAAGAAATATAGATTATAATACATATGTGAAGGACATGATTAAAATGGTTCAGATAAGAAAAAATAGATTTTTCATCTTATTTATAATCAAGTGCAAACTGAAATGAGGTGCCATCTTACCTCAGTGCCTATTACAGTGGAAAATGTATGTTACCGATGGCCACCTCTAACAAGACTGTGCCGAATCTCATCCTCTCATGCAATGCCAGTGACGTTTAAATTACTAATCTCTGTAAACATTTGTATCGAGCAATCAAAATTTTCGTAGCCTCGATCAATACAAAGGCATCTATGTAATGAAAACAGTATAAAAGAAAAAAGTCCTAAGTGCAATTATGCATTACAAATTTCTATAACAGTTTAAAAAAACATATCAGAAACATCCTCCATGTCCATATTTAAGGGTTTAGAAAATTAAGCAGGATAGACTAATGTGGCTCTATATGATATTGAGAAAAACAGACAATACTGTGTACACTCCAATTACAGATAGGACTTTGAAACAGGTTGTAAAAAATGTGAAGAATATCTGAAATGTGATATTGAAGAATAGAAAATCTAAAAATTAGGAGATTTTGAATGAATTCTTCACTTTTGAAAATGTCATTCGCTGGCTAAGTTTGGTTGTGTTGCAGGAGCAAGTCCAAGATGACGACTTCTTTGTTCTGTAATGTGATTAGGTGGCTTTTATGATTTAAAAAAAAAATGGCAAATTTAACTTTCCTAAAATGTTAAGGTTCTTTGTACAGAAAAATTAAAATTGGAAAAAATACATTATAAGAACTTAAATATAACCTGTAAAGGGGCAGAAATAAACCTACTCCCAAAAACAATTGAGCTTGAAGCAGTGGATATTTATTTAAAGTATCTCCTCTGTTCTCAGGCTTGTGTTAATCACCCTGATGGATAGAGAGACGCTCCCCTCGCCCTGAGAAGTTCATAATCCCATAGGCAAGGCAAGATTGAAGACACGGGACAGTCGCCCTGGGGACTCCAGCAGTGTAGAGAGAGGAAGAAGTCCTGTTAGGGATGGAGGTCAGAGAGGCTCCCCAGGGTGGGATGGAGGAATAGGGAAGACTGCTTCCGCTTTGTCCACACCTGTTAGAGCGTGGCCAGGATTCTCGACCAGGGAGGGTGTTTCTATTAGCTGACTTGTGTGTAATCCCGTGGGGAGTCCTCCTGACGGGTGAAAGAGCAGTAGTGTAGAGTTGGCCTTCACCACTGAAACCGGGCTGGGCACCCCGGGAGGCCAGGCCCAAGGCAGTGTCCCTGGCTCTGACCTTTGCTACTTCCTCCCATCCAGGCAAGTTCAGTAAGGCCCACGGACAGCACGCAGGCCTCAGCAGAGAAAATTCAGCATAAGCTGTGGGCCACAGACTTCCCTTGGGTATGAGATGACGGCCCAGAAAGCAAGTATCTCTGTTTTTTTAAATAAACAACCTACTTCTACTTCCCCTCAACCCCCTTCTTATATCCCCCTTTGGTCTGCTTGCCCCATCCTTTGTTTTCACCTGGCGGCTTCTCTACTGTTCATCACCAGCTTTCAGGATCACTCATGCTCTCTCAGCCTCAGACTGAGGTGTGCCGGAGGGGTGAGGTCCAGCAACACGGGGTCTGTCTCTGATGGTCTCCGGGCTCTGGCAGGCAAGCGCTGCCCCTGCCAGCCTTCTAAGGGAGGAGGATGCAGCCCCCTACTCCACCCCGGATGTGGGCACCACTCACCAGCAACCACATGCCTAGACATTAGAAAAGCAGCTCTGGGGTGGGTCTTCAGGGGAAAACCAGGCCTGGAGGCCAAAATGGCTGTGAAGGGAAGGTCCAGACCATTCATTCCCTGCCCTCTTCCCTGCCCATCTTGTAATTGGTGAGGGAGAAAAATTCTTGACAGGAGCAGCCTGACCACTGCATACCAACTGTCTGTGAGTTCTAGGACCAATTTCTTTTTTTTCTTTCTTTTTTTTTTTTTTTTTTGAGATAGAGTCTCGCTCTTTCATCTAGGCTGCAGTGCAGAGGCTCCGTCTCCACTTACTGTAACCTCCGCCTCAGCTTCCTGAGTAGCTGGGATTATAGTTACTCGCCACCATACCCAGCTAATTTTTGTATTTTTAGTAGAGATGGGGTTTCACCATGTTGGCCAGCCTGGTCTCCAGCTCCTGATCTCAAGTGATCTGCCCGTCTCGACCTCCCAAAGTGCTGGGCTTACAGATGTAAGCCACGGCGCCCAGCCTCTAAGACCATTTTCCAAATCCTCCCTGGGATCTCCGTGTGCCAGAGGGACCCTGAACAAGGGTGACCTTATGTCCGAGTTTGCCCAAAATAGCCCTGGTTTATGGTCCAGGTTAATTGTAATAGTGCCCGTTTCACTCTCAGAAACATCCTGGCTTACATGGTAAATTATTTCGTTACCCTATCTCAAACCAACATCAAACTGAACACATACACACACGCACCCCTCTGTGTTCTTGGCAGTTAAGGGGACAGTGTCCATACAGTCCCTAAGCAGAGAAACCTCAGGCTTATCTTTGACTCCTATTTGTGAGACCTGTGATGTTACAATCATCTCTTGAATATATCCTCTCCTTTCTGTCCCCACTGCTCATGATCTATTTCAGACACAAATAATTACAACTTACTGTGGGATCTCCCTGGCTTGAGCCTCTCCCCTCTCCACAGTTCTGCCGGGGATCTTTTCAAAACACAGATTGATGCCTCCTGGCTCCCCATGACCTTTAGATTGAAATCCATATCCCTTCACCATCCTTTCCTGCTTCATCTCCTCCCTCCTCCCCCACCTTTCTACCCTGGGCCCTGGCAGACTGCTTGTCCCCTGAAAAGCCCACATTAATTCCTCCCCATTTCGGTATACTTGTTCCCTTTACCCCTCCTCCTAGTCTGATCCTTTCCTCTCTTTTCTGCTGCTCTTATTTGACTTTCAACTCCTTCCTGGGACTGATCTCAAGTGTCACCTCCTAGAAAGCCTTTTCTGATTCAGCCTTCCCATCGGAAATGATCACGCCCCGATCCTCTAATTCCTAAGAGGACCTGGCTTTTAACATTTACTACAGTTAGGACTCCTGGCATGTTGGCCATTGCACATTCTGCTTAAGTAATCATCTCTCCTGCTTATGCGACAAACGGCTAAGGTCAAGAATGGCATCTCTTGCAATGCCTGAAACAATGCCTGCTTCATGGAGGAGTTCATTTTTAACAAGTCTGAATCTAACAAAATTGATAATTCACCTCAAATTTTCCACACTAGGTTGCCCAGCACATGAGCCACTCATTCCTGGGGACCCTGGGGACAGACTCAGAGGGCGCATGCACTGTGACATCAGTTCCACCACAGTATCTTGGGGAAGGGATATCTGCTAAGAAGAATTCAGATGTAAGTGGCTGATGCCTCCTTCAGCAGAAAGAGCAAGCTTCTCCTCACCCATCCTCTCCTCAGGTCCCACCGCCCGCTTCAAAGTGAGACTTCACTCCCCTGCCTTACTCTCAGTTTCCCAGTTCACAAGGGACCTTGCTGCCTCCAAGCTCCTGACATATAATTTAGGACAACGAATCTGGTGTTTCATTAGGTGTCATCTTTTGAACTGAGCTTACATCTGTGTTTGGCTTAATAAGTAGGTTTTGTAGGATGGGAGAAGACAGGGAAGAGCCAGATGTGGGTCCCAGGTTTCACCCCTTTCCAGCAGGATGATCTGAATACACACCTTCCTCGCTGCCTTAAAACCCTTCTGCATGGCTTCATGAGGATCTGATTGGGTCAGAGGAGCCACTCTTGGGATGAAGACACTAGCTCCACATCACAGGACACTAACAATGACTTGAGTGCCCAGAGCAAGCTCCCCCACCCACCCAGATCTGCTGTATCCTGGCAGTGGACTCCCTCCTAGGAGACAGGTGTTTTTGGGGTGAGGCGTGCCTTGGGCTTCATACTCTTATAAAATCCCCGGGCTCTGTCTTCTCACCTCTAAAGCCAGAGAAAACAGCAGCCGGCGGGTGCCGGTGGGTGCAGGTGGGAAGGGGCGAAGTGGAGGCTGAGAAGAGATTAGGGCTCTCGGGCACCCACCACCTCTTGCAACCCAACCCTGAGACAGTGGGGCAAGTATCCCGATTTCATGAACAAAGAAAATGAACAACTAATAGGGGCATGGGCCGCGCTCCTACTGCGAGGCAGGGCAGGTCTCCCAGCCCTGAGGGCTTTCCTCCCAAGACTTAGTTGTGAAGCGCCTTCTGCCTGTCCTTGCCCTTACCCCTCGGGTCAGCCCTAAATCGGAGGCCACTATCTCTCCCACAGGAACCCCACCCCCTCCTCCCTCCCCTCTTTCCTGCCCACCTATTTGCCTCGGCCTGGGGTGGCAGGAAGGGAGGTGCTGGGCCCTGGCGGGCGTGAAGAGCAACCCCCCCACCCCTGCTCAGAGCTGCTGCCGCCTGCGCCCAGGACTGCATCCCGCGCAGGCCTGGCGGCCAGGCCATGGCCCCCACCGAGCCCTGGAGCCCCAGCCCGGGGTCCGCGCCCTGGGACTACTCGGGGTTGGACGACCTGGAGGAGCTGGAGCTGTGTCCGGCAGGGGACCTGCCCTACGGCTACGTCTACATCCCCGCGCTCTACCTGGCAGCCTTCGCCGTGGGCCTGCTGGGCAATGCCTTGGTGGTGTGGCTGCTGGCCGGGCGGCGCGGCCCGCGGCGGCTGGTGGACACCTTCGTGCTGCACCTGGCGGCCGCGGACCTGGGCTTCGTGCTCACGCTGCCACTGTGGGCCGCGGCGGTGGCGCTCGGCGGCCGCTGGCCGTTCGGCGAGGGCCTCTGCAAGCTCAGCAGCTTCGCGCTGGCGGGCACGCGCTGTGCGGGCGCGCTGCTGCTGGCGGGCATGAGCGTGGACCGCTACCTGGCCGTGGTGAAGCTGCTCGAGGCGCGGCCGCTGCGCACCCCGCGCTGCGCGCTGGCCTCGTGCTGCGGCGTCTGGGCCGTGGCGCTGCTGGCCGGCCTACCGTCCCTGTTCTACCGGGGGCTGCAGCCCCTGCCCGGGGGCCAGGGCAGCCAGTGCGGGGAGGAGCCCTCCCACGCCTTCCAGGGCCTCAGCCTGCTGCTGCTGCTGCTCACCTTCGTGCTGCCCCTGGTCGTCACCCTCTTCTGCTACTGCCGCATCTCGCGCCGCCTGCGCCGGCCGCCGCACGTGGGGCGCGCCCGCAGGAACTCGCTGCGCATCATCTTCGCCATCGAGAGCACGTTCGTGGGCTCCTGGCTGCCCTTCAGCGCCCTGCGGACCGTCTTCCACCTGGCGCGTCTGGGGGCGCTGCCGCTGCCGTGCCCCCTGCTGCTGGCGCTGCGCTGGGGCCTCACCATCACCACCTGCCTGGCCTTCGTCAACAGCTGCGCCAACCCGCTCATCTACCTCCTGCTGGACCGCTCCTTCCGAGCCCGGGCGCGGGACGAGGCCTGCGGGCGCACCGGCCTCCTGGCGCGAAGGATCAGCTCGGCCTCCTCGCTCTCCAGGGACGACAGTTCCGTGTTCTGGGGCCGGGCCCACGCCGCGAACACTGCTTCGGCCTCCTGGTAGCTGCCCCGGGCAGCTGGAGGTGGGCGGCAGTGGAGCAATGAGAGGCGGGAAGAGGCCCCGGGAGGGGGCCTGAGCTCCCCAGACGCGCCTGTCCTGGCGGCAGCAAGCCGCTCCAGCCGGCCTCGCATTGCCTCGAGAGCTGCCTGGAGTCCCACGGTTTCCTCCATCAGCTTCCCCGGAACCTCAGAGCGATTGAACTTCCCTAAACCAGGCTGCTGAGACTAGCCTGCAGGGTTCCTGAGCTCATTTTGTCCCGTCCAAGACAGGTGTTATGAGATGGAGCAGGCAGCGACTCAGAGACCCGCAGATTCACCAAGTAGACAGAAGGGAAATGAGTTTCGTTCTCTGCCCCATCGGGAAGAGCACCGACCGGAATATCTAACCCAGACTCCTTTGTTTCTGGTTGTGCTTTCTCCCTCCCACAATAAACTTTGCTTTCAGAGAAATAACTTCTCCAAGTCAGACCCTCTGTCTCTCTAAACCCTGGAGAATCTGGTGACACTTCTCCCCCTGTGCAGCCGCAGGACTCACCCTGGAAGCTGTTCTGGTCCTTCACTCTGGACAGAAGATCCTGAAGTCTCTCACAGGCGTTCAGATTCTCCATCATTCAGCCGGGGACCCCAAAATCTTCCCTGTGAATTCACCTTTCTCAATAAACACTCTTGCTAGCCCTGTCTTGACAACCGTCTTTACTTGAGCAGTGGGAGTGAAATGCGTGTCAGGGGGCGGGTCGCACACTGGGTGAGACAAAACTCAACACAGTAGTTGAGGTTGACCTCAGGATGCTGAGGATTTGGGGTGATGTCTGGAACCATGAGAGCCAGCTGCATTCTGCAGGTGCAGTAATCCCACAGGAGGCAGCAAATCATTTATTCTTATCTTTAAGGGCATTTCACATTTTGAAAGTTACAGAAAAAAAATGTATTTGTATAGGGCATCTGCCAGCCAGGTGTCACCTCCAAGAGAAGATGTGTCATTTTTTTCAAATATATACCAGGCCTTTTTTTTCTATCTTTTTTCAGACCTTCCAGTAGAAAATTTGGGGATTCACCATTTTCTGACTCTGTGGTTTCTCCTTCGAGGTTTCTGTAGGGTTTGGAAATTCACTGTTTATACTTTTGATTTAAGAGGATTTGGCCAGCCGGGCACCGTGGCTTACACCTGTAATCACAGCACTTTGGGAAACTGAGGTGGGCAGATCATGAGGTCAAGAGATCAAGACCATCTTGGCCAACATGGTGAAACCCCATCTCTATTAAAAATACAAAAATTAGCTGGGCGTGGTGATGCTCACCTATAGTCCCAGCTACTGGGGAGGCTGAGGCAGGAAAATCACTTGAACCCAGGAGGCGGAGGCTGCAGTGAGCCAAGGGGCACCACTGCACTCCAACCTGGCAACAAAGCGCGATTCCATATCAATTAAAAAAAAAGGGGAATTTGGCCTAAAGACATTTCAGTCAGTGTACATCCTAGCCAGATCCCCACAGGCCAGTCATAATGTCGCAAGCACTGACGGAAGGAGTGGCTGTGCACGGAGATCACCACCTCAGTTCTAGGTTGGGCCTGAAGCCTGGCATTCTGTCGCAGGCTATCCATCCCATCCCCTCATCGAGTACCCCTGCATTCTCTTCAGCATTTGGAGCTGCTGGATTAGAGCAGATTGAACATCACACCCCACTTTGACCCCACCTGTCAGCTCTCCTAGGTGAGCCTGCTAAAAAGTGGGACTCTGCATGTGAATCCCATATACTCCAAGAGAGGCAAGCCTTGCAGCCTGTGAGGCCACCTGTGCCAGCAGGACACATTTCAGGGGCTTTGGTGTGTGAGAGCTTGGTTAAGTCTTGGCCCTTCCTGTCCTCACTACCTATCCTCACTATTGCTCTCTGAGGCAAGAAATTATTTTATTTTTTATTTTCTTTCATTTTCTTCTTTATACAATTTTTTTTTTTTTTTTTTTTAAATAAAGACAAGGTTTCACCACGTTGGTCAGGCTGGTCCTGAACTCCCGACCTCAGGTGATCCACCCGCCTTGGCCTCCAAAGTGCTTGGATTACAGGCGTGAGCCACCATGCCCGGCCTAAGAAATTATTTTTTCATGGGGCTGAGACCCCAGAATTTCCAGCGTAGGGAAGCTGATTCTCATCTGGGTGTGTGTGTGTGACAAGATCTCAGAGTACAGAGGCGGCGCTTTTCTAGGGTATTGGGACTGAGCCCCCACCTCCACCCCTGCCAGGTTGCTGCTTCTGACTTACTGACTGGTTGAGTTCCCTGGAAAAACAGACAGGAAGAAAGGCTTCTCCATGCCCTGGTGGGTTTTCGGCTCCCCTCTTGCAGTAGCTATTGAAACTCAGCATTCCCCTCCTGCTGTGGAACTCTGTGAGCTGTGGAGAGACAGTCTCCGCCTTTTGTTTGAGTAGATTATGGAATTGATCTACCATGTGTTCCTTGGAAATGTTCCCTTAAATTCAGACAAAAATGAAAGAGGACCAGTGAGCCCCTATCTCCCACTGGGGAAGATGAGGCTCAGATTCAGCAAGGAACTGGTTAAGTGAGCATTCCCACATATGTGGCGAGTGGTAGTAGATTCCTTTAAGAACAATCGTCAATCTTTACCAAGAGCTTTAGAACTTCTCATATCTGATTTCTTTAAAATGTTTATACCCTTTGGCCCGGTGGTTTTCCTTCTGCCACTCTCTTCTTAATACAAACAGTACTAAATTTAAACGTTTATGCACTGAGTTATAGAAGTTTTTAAATAGTTAAACCTGAAAGGAAACAACTTTAATATCTAACAATAGTGTAGCGTCTTTGTTAAGATGAATGACTGTCATGCAAATTTAAGATGTTCTGTAGGGCTGTTGGCCCCACAGGGTCATGGGGTGTCCCTTATGCTGTGCTGAGGTGCAGGATCTGAGAAGCAGAGACAGGACACTGAAGAACTGGTGAAGAGCATCTGGACTCGGGGGCCACACCACCTATGAGCGGAGACTGTCGAGGCCCGGAACGCGCGGAAGCGTCTGTATTTATTAGGTACAGGCAGGGGGAAGGGTCATGAGGTCATCAACTATAGGCTTAGTGATAGGGCATACATAATCATGTGAGTCTCAAGTGAGGGGACCACCCATATGTCACCTGGGCAGAGAGGTGGGCTGTGCGCAGTAGGGGGCTGTGACATGCACAGTGGTAGAGGGTCGTGTACAGAAAAGGGGTCCACCCCCGTTAGGTCACCAAGGCAAGGAGGTGGGCTGTGTGCAACACTTCTTATCTGGGGGCTGGAGGCTTCAAAGGATTTCTAACAGAAGGATACTGTAAGCCAATGCAGTGGGAGCTGATAGACTTGTGCTCTTCTCTTAAGATATTTATGGGAGGATGATTTGAGCTAGCACACAGTGAGAAAAGACTGACAGGGTGTACAGCCACCGTGACTGGTCACACCAGAGGGGTTTTTCTCCCTCGGTTATTTCCAGGATCTCAGGCCTGAGGCCTACTTTGCACAGGAACTGGAAGTAAGGTACTACGACTCCTTTATCAGGAGGAGAGGCTCCTGCTCCAAGCCTACCATACAGCATATGCCCTTTCAGGCAGGGATGCCACTGCCTGGGTCTGTGGTTCTTGTCCTGGTCTGGCTGTTGTCCCATGTACTGCTTCTGTTCTGTGACTGCTCTAGGCATTCCTTCTACTATAAACTACTATATGGTTATACGGAAGGATTACATAAATCAGCACTAAATGTGTCGGTACAGCTCCGACTACATCTGCTATATGATTATATAGAAAGATCATATGAAACTAAGTATGCTAGATATAAGTATAAGTATGTTTATATAAGGTAGATACAAGTAAGCAGTCAGTTATACTTCAGGCACTAACCGTGCCTGGGGTCTGCACAGTGCTCCTTCCTTGGTGACCATGGGGGGTGTTACTCACATGTTCTTTAAAGAGAGGCTGAAAAATGTTGATAATAAATTAAAAGGGAAAGAAAGGTAAAATCTTATCTGTTAAAAAAACACACCCACACACTTCAAGTCTGGAGGATATAAAATGGTTAGCACTGGTTTTGTTAAGTAAAACATAAAATGCTTCATGGTGCTTTTGATAAAATGATCTTTTGATTGGATGCAGGGGCTCACGCTTGTAATCTCAGCACTTTGGGAGGCTGAGGCAGGTGTATGACAGGGTCAGGAGTTTGAGACCAGCCTGACCAACATGGTGAAACCCCATCTCTACTAAAAATACAAAATTTAGCCAGGCGTGGTGGTGGGTGCCTGCAATCCCAACTACTCAGGAGGCTGAGGCAGGAGAATCGCTTGAACCCAGGAGGCAGAGGTTGCAGTGAGCCGAGATTGTGCCACTGCACTCCAGCCTGGGCAACAGAGTGAGACTCCATCTCAAAAAGAATAAAAAATCAAAAAACGATCTTTTGCTCTTTTATTTCTCATGGCTCAAGTTTTGAACACTGTAGGTATATCTCTTTTCTCCAGGTGCTAATGGAATGCCATCGATTTATTTCTTTGCTTCTTGCTTGCCTCTCCCTTCAGAATGCGAGCTCCGTGCACGCAGACAGTTAGGCTGTGTTCCCAGCGCCCGGAACATGCCTGTGCATCGCAAGCACTCGCTCGCTACCTGTGAATGAATGATCATCGGGGCCATGTCATGATATGAAATGATGTCATAGAATGTGAAGAGTAAGCTATTGGATTTTGTGTGTAACAGCTATGTCTTATTAAAGGACTTACAAAAGAAAGGCTAGGAAGAAATACGATAATCATTAATGATAGTGATTGTATTAGAGGAAGTAGATTACAGATCTTTTTGCCCCCTCCATTTCTTTACTGTTAAAGTTTCTATAAGCTTTTTTTTTTTTTTTTAAAGAGACAGAGTTTTGCCTGCAATCATAGCTCACTGCAGACTCAACCTCCTGGCCTCAAGCGTTCCAACCACCTTGGCCTCCCAAGGTTTGCAGGATTACGGGTATGAATCACTGTGTCTGGCTTTCTAAGCTTTTTTTGTTTGGTTGTTTGACACAGTCTTGCTCTGTCACCGAGGCTGGAGTGCAATGATGGGATCTCAGCTCACTGCAACCTCTGCCTCCCAGGTTCAAACAGTTTTCCTGCCTCAGCCTCCCAAGTAGCTGGGATTACAGGTGCCCACCAATTTTTCGTATTTTTAGTAGAGACAGGGTTTTGCCATGTTGGCCAGGCTGGTCTCGAACTCGACCTCAGGTGATTCACCCGCCTCAGCCTCCCAAAGTGCTGGGATTACAGGCGTGGACCACCACATCTGGCCCGATATAAGCCTCTTTTAAAGGGCAATTAACAGATAGCAGTGAGGCTGCCGAAGCGCTGGAGCTCGGTAACCAGCTGCCTGTCCGTGGCCACCTCGCTCAGCCGTCTTGAGCCTCAGTTTCTTCAGCTAAACGAAGAAGATGATTATATCTTCTCAGACTGCCTCACAGAACAAAGGAAATCATCTTGAAAGTCCTTTGTAAGCTGTGTCGTTTTAGACAAGCATACTGCAGGAGTTTTAGACAACATACCTTCAGGATTTGCTTGTTCCAGGCCGGGCTACCCCTCCCCATCCTTGTCGCCACAGAGAGGAGACAGGGTGGAGCCGCTCTGGGTTTTCAAAAGGTCAGCATGTGGGCCAAGGCTGGGCACTTTGGCTGTGTGTGATT